GTGACCTCCAACAAAAAAAAGACCTGACCATATCAATTAAATCCCCTCCTGTGGTATGCCAATATTTTTTATAAAAGGTGGCAGACATACCATCAGGTCTAGGGGCTTTGGTTAGAGGCATTGCGAAAAGAGTTGCTTTAATCTCTTCTAGTAAGGGTATGGCACAAAGATCAGGATGTTGTTCAAGAGTGATTATGGGTGCTTTGAGATCATCTAAGTGATGGGGAAATTGGGGATTAGATGTTGTGAAAATAGTTTGAAAGTAGTGCAGGAATTGGTTACCCATAGACTCCCTCTCTATGGCCCATGTTCCATTTGGAAACTTCAAGCAATCAATTGAGTTCCTTCTGCCTCTGATAACTATGGTATTGTGAAAGAATTTGGTGTAGGCAGCTCCTTCTTTCATTCATTGAATTCTTTATTTTTGTTTCCACGTCTTCTCCTCCCTTCTGAGTTATTCATTAAGATCAAGTTGCAAGATTTGTTCCTCCACTATATTGTCTTCACTTGGTTTAGCTTGTTATAAGTAATCAATTCTGCTTCTCAGTGCCTTTGCCTTTTGGGTACAATTTCAATGTACTTCCCTATACCAATGCTTTAATGCTTCTTTAGTTGCTTGTAGCTTCCTGCAAAACTTGTATGCAACTGATCCTCTTCTATTAGTTTTCCATGAGCCTTTGACCACATTATGACTGTTAGGGTCCCTTATCCACATCTTCTCAAATTTAAAAGGTTTGTGAAAAGTTTTAAGGATTCCATATGTGTTCAGTAAGAGGGGGAAATGGTCAGAAGAATAGCTAGTAGATGTCTGATGGCAGAACGTGAAAATAGCATTCTCCAACCAAGTGTGACTAGTCCTCTGTCCAATCTTTCCATGATGTTAGCAAGGCCTTAACGTTTATTGGACCAAGTGAAAGGACTGTCGTGATAGCCAATGTTAACTAATCATTAGTCATTAATGAAAGAACCAAAGCCGCCATTTGATGGGGATGCAAATGATTTACCCCCTCTATTCTCCTCCTGAAATATCACACTGTTGAAATTTCCTATAAATATACTTGGCCATGGGCTATTTGTGTGTATTTGATTTATTGAGTCCCAGAGAGCTAGCTGAAGTCTTTTGTTTACTGAAGCATAAATGCAGTTAAGCAACCAACTTGAATCTGGAGAATTCGAAGAAATCACAGCTGATATGATGCTCTAGTTTGCAAGTAACACTTCAAGCTCAACACCTTTCCTCCAACACAAACATATTTCGCCAGATAGACCTTTAGCACTCTATATCTCAAAGTTGTGGAACCCAAGGGTGAGCAAAGTTTTCTTGGTTTTTTTAAAGAAATTTTAGTTTTCGAAAGGAAGATGAAATCTGAGTAATACTCCTTTATGTGAGCCTTCAAGTGGCAAATTGTTGAGGCATGGCCCAGCCCTCGACAATTCCATATGTATCCTATCATGGTAGGGGGGCATGGTCAAGCCCGCCTCCTCAGCCACTGAGATGGTTTCCTCTATAACATGAACTTAGGTCTCTTTATGGATAGCTTTGCTAATGTGCGTTGTTTTCTTGATGATTCTCTCACATTTGAACTTCATGTATGGTTTCCTTTGAAGATGATGGGTAGGGTGAGTGGGTGAGTTTTGATGTTAATCAATTTTGTCTTTAACATTAGGTTTTTTTGGTTCAGAAAGATGTTGAAGGTCAACCATCTTCTATTCTTGCTCACCTTGCTTGCCTTACTCTCTGAGAACATAGTTGCAACACATCATTTGAGGGATAACAACTAGACATGGTTCATGCAATTATCTACTATTGCTTCAAAGCTCAATAGGGGTAAGGTTTTGATAGTAGCCAAAGTAGGGGATTTGGTGTTTACCTCTGTAATTGAAGCACTATAGTCATAAATTTGGGGGTTAATTTGGTTCGTGATTTTGTAGTTTTGGGTTTGGTTTGTCTTATTGGATGGAAGATTAGGTAATGGGTTTTATTGTTTGATGAGATCCCTAGTTGTGGTTAAGTATGTATCTGTATATTGGGCTTGGGTACAAGGGGAGTTCTCATCTGGCTAAGTGATCTCTGGTCAAAATTGGTGTTGTAGGCTTTTATAGTCAAGAGTTATTTTTCATTTTGTTGGGGTTTCAAGAAAATCAACGTAATGATCCCCATATGATAGACATAGTAGGGTCATTTGTACCTGTGTTCATTCCACAATCGTGTTATCCTCTTCCAGCCTTCCGCGTGTTCCTAAAAATGGTGCGAGGTTCGTTACTAATTTCATCTACCTCCTACAGTAACGTTTCCAAGTTGTTCCCTGATTCACAAGGTTCTCTGTTGTCTGACGCATGGGTTGGGGGTACCATTTTCTCTCACGCCATCTACATCACTTCTTTGCTTAGGCTTTCAGCTAGTGTAGGGATCTCCGCAATCTGTTTGGCTATCGCCCGGAGGTGAGGTCCGTATTGAATCTAGTCTAATTGAGATGGAGATTTCATACAGTATGATCTATCATGACACAAACGTCCACAATTGTAGCAAAAGTCACTCAAACATCCATTAGATTGGTTATAATAGAAGAAGGTTACCAAAGGTTGTTTTAAATCTATTATAACTCTGGTCCTCAGATAGCTCTTCCAATTTGATTTTGGCTTAAGTTTGTTTTGATACTCTGTTGGGTGCCTCAAAGCTTCGGCAATGATAAGAGCATTTTCCTCCGTTATCATATCAGGAGAGGCATGAGCAATTGGTGGATTACGAAGGGCCTTTTTTGGGAGCATTGACATTATGGAGAATTCCAATAGAATGTTTCTATGGTATTGCAATACCCTTATAGGAAGAGAAACAGGGTGGTTATTGAAGGAAGAAGGATGGGTGACCTTCACAAGTTTATCGCCTTTATGGAGAACATCCAAATTGTTAATAATTTTTTTATCATAAACTTGTCACGTAATACTTAAATATGCACAAAAAATAATTTTGATAGCTCTTAAAGAAAATTTGGGTAGCTCCTAACCAAAAAATGTGTAATATGAGTAGTTTTTGACCAAAATTTGAATAGCTCATGATCAAAACTATGTAATTTAGATAGTTATTTAATCAAAATTTGAGTAAAAATTTGGTTAATAATTATCCAAATTATTTTTGTCTATATTTAAGTATCACGTGACAAATTTTATGATAAAAATAGTTAGCAATCTGGACGCTTTACTTGAAGGACCATATAAAAACATATTTAATACTTCAGGGATCAAAATAATACAATTAAAATATTATTGATCAAAATGAGACAAATTCCATACTTTTTCTTCACAATTTCAAAGTTTCGTCTTTTCTTCTAACTCGACGGAAATTGCTCAATTGAACGCATTGGTTTCGCCTTCTCTTTTTAATCTTTTTTTTTTTATGAATCGAATTCTTTTTGAAAATAATGTAATAACATAAAAATTAATGTGACTAGGTACTCAAAAATAATGTAACAACATATTAAATAATATGACAAGTTATTCAAAAATAATATGATAACATATTAAAAAAATGTGACAAACTACTCAAAAATAATGTAACAACATATTAAACAATGTGACAAGTTATTCAAAAATAATGTGACAATATATTAAAAAATGTGGCAAGATAGTTCTAATATAAGAACTATATATATATATATATATATATATAGAGAGAGAGAGAGAGAGAGAGAGAGAATATAGAGAGAGAGAGAGAGAGAGAGAGAATAGTGGGATCATAAAAATTTTACACCATAACCTCTTGTGGAAACTTTTTATGTGAACAATTATATCTTTATCTAACAGTTACAAACTATAGTAGTCCAAAATTTAATGCAAAGACCTACCAAGTTTAGCTTTTAACTAAAAATGAAATTTCAATGACATATTAATTATAATTCAATTCCTATTAGGCAAATCTACTTATCTTTTTTTTCTTTAAATTATATCTTTAGAGATTGTGGCCATTTACTAAGGAAAATCTACTTATCCTTTTTTTAAATTATATCTTTAGAGATTGTAACCATTTACCATCAATATTCATTTCTAGGGATAACCCATATCAGAAGACACTATGTAACGTAAATCAACCGATTAAATTAGACAGATGAAGAGTGAAAATTTCAAAGAGAGAAAAAGCGAAAAGTGGAGAAAAGAAAATAAAATTCAATGTAAAAGATTTTGATAGAAATGCTAATGACCGTTGGATTAATTTATTTAAGACCGTCAAATAAATTTATTAAAATCTACTTTGTTTTATATTATAGATGAGTATCGGCGCCTAACTCTATGTCATTCCCAACGCAGGGGAACATGGACAAACTCACCACACTTGCATGGTATATTGGCTATTAATCGAATAAAAGACAAGATGTAAATATCCATTGTTCACCCGGTCATAGATGCACTTTTGGACTTATCCCAAGCCCAAATGTACCACCCAAATGCGGGATTAGTGAACCCTCGCATACAATTAGCTTCTTTTTGTTTTTTAACCGGACATAAAATTAGTTTAATGCTATGATTTTATCGCCAAACCAAACACATGTTTCAATGCATATATAGCAAATCTACCTCAAACCAAACACACATATACCTTCTGAAAAATAGCTAATGACCTCACCAAGAAAGTTTCCGATAAAAGGGCTAGACAGGGTAAAGTATATAGCCTGCCTAAACTCCAAGCTGCACAAAAATAATAATCAAACCAGTACGTAAACACACATATTTAATGTACATTCCATTTTAGGTAACATCAGAAGCAGAAAAAGAGTACTTAATGGAATGCATCTTTAGACTGGAACCATTATGAATGTAAAATGTAATACAGTTTAAACAGTGTTGCACCAATGGATTTTCCTTCGTTCTTCTCAAACTTCTTATTGGGTAGCACAGAATAAGAGGGAGCAACATAGAATATAAAAAACTACAAAGCCACCGGGAAGGGCCAAGCAATTTGAAAAATACAGGGTTCTGGGACTCTTTTCAAGCATGAGCAGTCTCTGTTAAGCTTCATCCATTTTTCTCATAGCTTCCTCAGTTTCCTCATAGGCTTCATTTGTCAGAGAGTTCATCATCTGATTTCCCTGACTTCTGGCAAAAAGGTCAATGCTCCCTATTTGAAACCGTGAAGTTGCCTGCTTATCTCGAACTGCTAGAAACCTCAACCTGCAATTTGTAACGGCCAATTCCAATAAAGATTAGCCTGAACCCAGATTGCAAATGAATTCTAACAAACTTACCTGAATGCATTTGATAGGACACCTTGTGATTGGATCTCAAATGTTTTCCGCTGGAAACGTTTTGTAAACATCTGACAAGTTTGTTTATCCAAAACACGCCAGGTGGAACCCCCATCATCACTTCCTTCAACCACCCTAAAACCAAATGTTACTTAACGTTAAATTAAAAACATAATCAATAATACAAAGGTATAAAACAAGAAACCTATACATACAATGTAGATCATGAACCAACAATTGCCGAGTTCAAAATAAGGTCAGAGGAAAATTTATTTCACTTAGTGTCCACATGCTTAGAAAGAATAAAAAAAAGCCTACTTTCTTGCATGCATGGTTAGAATGAAGTTTTTTAAAGAAACTACGACAAAAATATTGTACAGTTACTAGGTTATCCTGACTCATTTTGAACAAAATAATAGACTGGAAATATAAAGTTTTTTCTGTTTTGTATATCAATAGAGAAAGTCATCATCACCATATAAATGTATCAAACCTGCCTAAAACACTAAATAAATTAATTCCAATATGAATTAAACATCATCAGCTCACATTGGGAAAAGAAACCATCATCACAGTCAGCCATTGTTTAGAATTTTTTGAAGGTGATTCCAGGTTAGAATTGACTGAAGTCTTGTCTATTTCATTGAAACACCATATTTTCCTTCATTGAAATCAGTTGAGAAAGTGAAATATTATAGTTGAGAGTGATATATGCAGCTTGTTGGAGGTCTTCCTCAACTTCTCTTCAGAACTTCTTAGTGTTGCTTTAAGGGAATGCTCTTTGAGGCACCAATTCAAAGTGAGTTTTCAGAAGATGTTGAAGTGGCGATGTACGGCAGCAACAATCTTGATTGGGGACTTTCTTGTGGCAAAGTTGATGGCTGTGGTTTTTAGGCATTTTTTAAGGTTGTTTGTTGGGGTTCTCTAGATGATTTTTGGACACCATTTTTTTGCAGTCTTGTGGTCATGTTTTCCACAGAACATGCTGATAGAGAGATATTGTGCCGCGAAGGAGTCATTAATAAAAGAATCTGAAAGTACAAGCCAAACCATGGCAAAAGTGGGAAGTGAAAAGATCACCACCGACATTCACGGGGGAAAGGGAAATTTTAGCATACTTTTTTAAGGAAATCAAAGTCAAGTTTATGTGCATATACGGATCATACAGGAACTTTATTATCTTGCATTTTCCACTTTCTTTGTTTTTTTAATCTTTCACTTCGCACAATTCTCCTACTAAACAATCAAACCCTTAAGAACAAAAACATATTTTCAGTTTATTTTTGCAACGGAAATTACTAACTCCCTTGTGGTATAACAACATTACAAGGGTATCCTCATTTGTAAAATAACGGTGACACCCCTTGTTATCCCCCTAGCAATGTGAACAGATAACAATCCTTCTACCAAATTGCCCTCTATTTATTCTTTATCGAAAAAGCTTTGCCCTCCCCTTAGACAACTCTAACAACCAAACTAATTTATCCTCTTCAAGGTCAGATCTCACTTGCGAAAAGTATTTGAATCTCACCTGAATAAATATTCAATGCAACATAACACCACATTATCACACCACAGGAAAAAATAACAAATAAGCAAAGTGAACCCATTAATCCAATGTGTTGATGATCTGGTGGTTACTGGTAGTTAGTAGAGTAGTGGAGTTCATTTTGCCCACTTGTGGTGACACCACGTGGTAATAATGTGGTATCATTGTCACATTGAATATTTTCTCCTCTCACCCATAGCACCACCATTGCATCTACACTACCAAACACATGTATGCCCATATAGGGTCCCCAAGTATATCGCTAGTAGTAAACACGCGCATGGTGGATCAGGGCCAAAATTTGGGGAGTGGATGTTGGCAAAGCTTTGTCAATCATGAGAGGTGCCGGGAGTAAAAGGAGATAAAGACGAACTGATATCATAGCCTGGCCTTTGCTTTAGTATTAAGCGTCGGCCTTTTGGCAGTTTTGACCCTTTGGACAATTAATTTTATACCGGTTTAATGTGTATAAGTGCAAAATGAGTAGCTTATGGAAAAAAATTTGTTCCCATCATCCCTTTCTTCATAATCTTTGATGGTCGGTCAGGGCAGAAGTATTTTTTAAAATCAAAACCAAAACTACAGTGAGTGTAGTGTTACTTCAGAAATTTTGACAAAGCAACTGTGCACACATGCCAAAAATCAGGAGTCGCATCAGATTTTTTTTTTTTGTTTTTGTTTTTGGGGTGGGTGGTTGAGGACTAGGAAAAGTAGGCTCCGTTAGGTATGAGTTGGTAACCTTGATGCCTCACCACAGAATCCCAAATTTTGGCGTCAGTATTGATGCATCTGCAGTACTGGCAATACAAACAACTAGAGTGTTAAGCGGCCCATCGAAAAAAGTCAATAGAAAAGAATGGTTATAAATTGTACCCACATGCTTTAGTGTATCTTCAACTTTCTAATATCTTACTAATTCACATATGATCATTGCATGAGAACAATTCTATCCAATTAGCTCTGAAAGCATAAATAATAACGAGAATAATTGTGAAGGGATCATCTAGTCTCAATTCCTAACAGATTTCAGCAAGGTTAGTTTTCAAATCAGCTCATTACTAGTCTAGATGTAAGAATGATGATCTCATATATTAAGAAAAACACTAAGTTCCCATAAAAATGCTCCTGTAGAATGCTTCAGATAAAACTAGTATGGAGCATGCGTTAGAACTTACTGCAGACAAACTTAAGGTTAGTCCTATTTAAGGTCAATTTTAGGCTTAACAAGCCGCTGGCCAGTGTTTGCTTTAAAAAAAACGAGTAAATGAAATATGGGATTTCTGTATGCCACTAAATGGGCCGTATTTGCAATTCATGGGTCTTCAGTTGGGTCACATTATTGCATTTTCTGTGGAGTTTTTGGTGGTCTAATAGTAGTTGCAGTCAAAGCAGCTGCAGTTTTCTATTTTTGAATCATGGCCATAGTAGCAACAGGGAGGTAAAGAGACAGCCCAGTGGAAAACGCCTGTCCTCCCAAGCAAGATATGTGGGTTCGATCCTCACCTCCCCCCTCCCTGGGAAAAAATTGTGAGGTTCTTATTAGGACCCTCCCAAAAGGAGAAATACAAGTAATAGGACAAGTCTACCAGCCAACATACACACACCACTTTTGATCTCGATAGAGGAGATACAAATTTGGGAAAAATTTCTCTAAGACTAAATCTATGTTTACTCAATCACTTAGGCCGTATCAATGTTTTTTATTTATTTTCTTTAAGACTAAATCCTCGTATTCGCATATTTACAATTTTTTCTAGGCCAAGCTCTACAAGCTGAACTCTATCTTTTTCATTCACTTTTTTGTTGGCTTCTTAGTAACTTGATTTGTTTTATCATTTCTATTGAATCTTTGAATATCTCAATTGCTCAAACGCGATCCTCAAGTCAAGAATGAGAGACAAGAAAGATAAATAAAAGTATGCCCCTACTTTTCCTTCCTCTCAGAGTATATCCCCAATTGGAGAGAAGTTTTATGTAATTCAGACTATAAAGTAAATCGTCAAGCGAAGTTATGTTTCAGCACAAGAAGCATTTATTTGGCTGCAGGGCGCATATGGGTACACACTTATCTAATAAAAAAACAAGAAAAAAATTAGTGGTAAAGCAACAGGGTCCAAATAAGGAAGCGTTAAGTGACAAAATAATGTCAATGGAAGGTCTGGCTGGAGTTAATAGATGCTGATAGACCTTACAATATTGATTAGGCCTCAAAGGATATAGACGAAAAGTAGAGTGCCACCGATAAGAGAGCAATCTTTTGCAAAGGATTCATAATTAATTTTGGTGTTGTTTTACCTAGAGGACCTATATATAGAAGCCTAAATATGATTATAAGAAATCTCAATCGCCTCGTACTGAAACTTCTGAAACAAGAATCGTTTAGCATACAAAAATCTTCCACATTCTAGGTGATCAAAACAAAATCAAACAAGAAAAAGAACTGAAACAAAAACCACCACCTACCAAGCATGGAAACTGTTGAAGTATGTTAAACAACTATCTACTCTAAAAACTTAAGTGTTAGAGAGGGTATAACTTAAGTATTTATATTTGAACAAAAATGAACTAAGCATAATCCATAAGATTACAGCTCAATTGTAGTTATGCAAACAAGGTAAACATAGCACTGAATCACCCAAATATGAAGGGGTTAGAACCAACAGATGACTTAACAAAGCCAGTATCATTTATCTCTCTCTCCCCCTCTCACAATCGAAAACATCATCTTCCTCCACCTGCGAAGCATGGATACCTCACCAAGGCCGGAGTATCCATATCAAGTACGTATCCAATACGATTACCCTTCGAATATGGCCACAACCGTATCGGATACAGCCATATATGTCTAGAACATTTTGAAAATACTTCTAGTTTTGGATACACTAGGGATACAACAATGATATACGACTGATATGTTTACAATATGCAGGGATACGCCATGACTAAACATAGGATTTATTTTACTTTTTCAAAATTGGTCATCAACGTAGATAAAAATATTTTGGAATATAAAATTGATAAATTTCCAATATTTTGATGTTTAGATTAGTTATCGATTCAAGTATCTTAATAATGAAATTTATATACATTTTGCAGAGTTAAGATTTATGATTGTCAATTGATATGCCTCATACTATATACTACCTTTTGAGATAGATTTACCTGCATCTCAGATGGATTTGCTTGCATGACTATTAGTTATTTCTTGTTTCACTCAACTCATCAAAATCTTTATCCCAACTATTTGGGTCGGCTGCAATTGCATGAATCCTGCTCTACCAAGGTCCATATTTTCAGATAACTGAAGCTATTATATCATTTTTTTTTTACTATTTCGTTCAAAGTTAATTTTGACTTATCTCTACCTCACGCATTAGCATCCATGTGTACCAAATCACTCTTTCTCATTAGTGAAATACTTGATTTTCTATAAATATGTCCAAACCATCTAAGTCGATTCTCTCTTAACTTATCACCTATTAGTGTTACTTTTACAGTTTCACAAATATATTTATTCCTAATTTTGTCTTTTTTATTTTTACCACACATCCATCTTTAGAATAGTATGTGAAATATAACAATTGATTAATATTTTTGCATCCATATCTATATCCTATTTTAGATTTTGCAATGTCCCTACATCTGTATCGTGTTGTACCTGCATTGCTTACTTATATCCATCCATGCTTCCCAGTTCTCCATTTTACCATGTTCCAAGCATATTCTATGAAACAGTTGGTCACAATTAAGCAGCACTAAAGCAATATACTGTCTTGTATGATCATGGTAGATTGATTCCAATTCAATAGAACTGAAACTAAGGTATCTTCAGCTTAAAACAATGGTCAAGGCATTGCAAAGCTCAGGCCTCACAAAAGAGGTAGATCTCAATTAAGCCACAACTGCTGCTTAACAATGAGTCACCTGCTAGCTTGCTTATAGACAGATAGGTAAATCCATGATTATGTTCTAAAAAATCATACCATTCCATTGGATCTCTCTCGGAAGCATCATTTGCAGACATTAATTCATACGCCACAAGCTCATGCATCTGATTCTCGAATACTTTGTATATAATCCAACAACCTACAAGACAGTCCCATGATTAACTGACGAACAATTACTTAAAGAGTTAATGTATTGCATATAATTTTGGCAGATATAAGCATTTTGGTCTTTTCCTTCATCCATCATGCTTGGGAACCAGGAAAAGTGTGGAGAGTTATTCAAACCACCTCAGCAGGACTACTAGCCATTGCCACATAAATGCAAGCATTGACCAAGATTCAAGACTCAAGACATGGTGTGAGTAATTGTTCCAAAGAAATGTAAAACTGCAACTTGCTTTCTTTTTATTTGTCTCGTTTTAGTTTTTTTGTGTTACCTAATTTTTTTTTTTTTGTGGAAGAAGGGAGGGGAAGAGGGGGAGAGGAGGCTTAAGCTTAAAAGACAAATAGTGATTGTTGTGGGGATCAAATATTGAATTGACACTTGAGCAAACAACTGGCAAGATTCAACAATTTCCAAATTATGAAGGTTCCATAAATACCCTCGGTATGAAGAAATCAAGAACAATTTTCACAACTGCCTCCCCATGTTGAGTAAAAAGTTTGAAGACAATCTTCCTTCCAAAAAATGCTGGGAAGAATTAGACTCGATGTAAACTGTTGCTACATGGAAGCATTAAATGTTGTCAACTTAATGGATCAGACACAATGTAAATATATAAAAAAAGTATGACATGGATGACAAGATATCCAAAAAAGAGAGACAAAATAAGGAAAGTTGAACCAAAATAGACCAGTCTTCCAATTCCAATAAAAGTCCGGGAAAGGCACCCCTTTAAAACTTTCTGCGGATATGGTCCATAAAAAATTGAAGAACACGATTCATTCGCAATCCAAGTCATGGAACAGCGTGATCATGGAAGATTGTCGTGCTCCTCTCTAACCAAATACACTAAAGAATCACTATCGACAGACAATTCTAAAGAACCTTAGCATCAGAACTTTACTGCAATAACTTCTCCACCGTAGAAGGACAACTAAGCTTTTCCAATCACATTAAACAACTTACTCCACAAACCCCAAGAAAAAGAGCAATTAATGAACATTCTACTCTCCGTTCCTCATACAAGCTAAGCAAACATTGTCAGTATTTTCCTTCATTTACACATAACATCTGCTTTTTGAAACTTCAGGGAAGGGAGTGACTGTAAGATGCCGATATTCAAATGAACTAGAATTAAGAACCGAAATAGGATGAGCAATCAGATCCCATGGTGCTGAAGCATTTCAGAAATTAATACCGAGTTACGCCATCAGAATGTGCCCTTTGCGTTACGCTTGTTGCCAGAGATTAGGAGAGTACCTATTTGTAGTACACTGACGAGACGCGGAACAAACTGTCCCAGAATATTATCACACAAATTTTTCCTTAAAAAAGCCATTTTTCATTTTCATTCTTCTGTATCTGCTACATGGTATAATTATGGTACACAGCAGATATAATCATATGACAGGTTATTCAGTTCGGGGTACCTCTGGCACCATTTGGTTCTTCCCACTTTGACATTCGAGTCCCATCAAATGCAGATGTGGCCTGAAGTCATATGAAACAATGGACTTTTCAATGATGGAATATAAAGAAACCTGTGTGCACGCACCCGAAATAATTCACCGGTACTATAAATGATAAATTATACGAGGCAATGCTACTTACAATTCCAAAAGGAAGCTCCTCCCCACTAGCAAGGACTAAACCAGAACAAAATCTATTTAACTTCAAAAGTGGCCAAGAGAGAGAGTGTTTATTAAAGTTGTCACATTGGTTAACATTATGGATCACATTGTCCAGAGCATGGAACAAAACAGGCAATGCTATGGAAGTTTTAACAGGATCAGAAGCCAAGCAAATGTCAATCCTTCCATTTGTATCCGATTCCATCTTCAGTGAAAGAGCATCAAGCAATTGACCAAAAGAAGGCAGCATCTGATTGACAACATACTGTGCACCATTGGAAAGAGATTTTATAGAAACTCTCCTGGTTCTAAAGGGCGATTTCTTGAGATCCACTAAAATATTTTTGAATATCTCAAGGACTTCAACAGCTCTAGATTTGGAAGAAGATTGCTTCACTAACTGGGAAACGACAGGACCAAATGCATTGTAGATCTTTGTCACATGCCCATCTATGCATTTACGCATTGGACCAGACGAAGACCATGAACGATTCTTGTCAGAACCATATTCTGATCTTGATATGCACCATTGCTTGTTCCCACTTTGTCTCCCTGGTAGTGAGATTGAAGCATCATCTTTAGAATACAAGTCTCTCTCAACTGCTTCTGCTTCATTCCTATCACGTTCTTCAAGCGCAGAAACCACTTCAGATGCAAGATTTTTTCGACAATCTCTAGTTATAGAGGATAGAAGAGTAGAAAGAGCAGGCTCTGGAGTAATGTTTCTTCGTGACAGCACCTTCAATAGGAAAATGCACCTGCCTAGTCAAAACTCAAGATAGCAATTTGTACATATGCTCTTGTGAACACGAGGAAATGAAAAGTAGTTCACTTAAAAAGATTCATATGATTACCTCACACCAATTCCTCGTGTAACGTTTAGTGACATCATAGACTCCATCTTTTGCAATAGCAATAATATAATTCAAATCTTTTTTCCAGCTTCAGAAGAAGAGCAAAAATAATCAAGTAGTGCACAAATAATTCCCCACACTCAAATATTGAGATCTATGAAGCAAGGACATAGAATGGGAAACAGATACCCAACAATATAGGCACACAAAAAGATTGCATATGCCAATATATGTGTGTGCAATTCTCATACTCACATTTTGACAATCGCTTTCAAGAATCCATCAGATATTTTATATTTATAAAACTAAAAAAAACACAAGATGCCCAAGGTTTATGTCGTGTACACATGGACTTGGTACCAAAGTTTTTGCAATTTAATTTTATTGTCTAATTATTCTTCTCCACTAAGATACAAAGGTTGCCTTCTATGTTCAAGATATGTTGACACATATATCAAAGTATCCAAGAAATACTGTTTAGAGTGTTGAAGGAGTATCCTTATCCCATACAAATGTGCTCACAATAGAAGTATTCATGCTTTATAGATCAGGGTCACGGGGATAATTCAAGAAACAATTGTCAATGTGAAAGAGGAAGTACCCTGTCTCATATAATAGCGGTCTGTCATATATGCCGTCACATGGATCAAGATGCATCCACCTGCAAAGTTCGGCAACATCAATAGAGTTCCTGAAGAATTGTGCATAATGTAATATATGAGAGACTGGTGAAAACACTTTACCTTCCCAAGAAAGTGGAGAAGCACTCCGTCCAAACATGATCTGTGAAATCCATGACCTGGGATGAAAATCAAATGAATGAACAGATACATGTAAGCACATAAAAAATTCACCCACTCGTTCATCCATGTATAGCAAAAGAACATTATTTAACCAACGAGAACTTTGGCTGCTTTTGAACATAATAAGAACAATAGAGTGGTGAGACTTTTTTGGGGATGTAAAGCAGAGGAGTGGCCCTTGAAGTACCTAGGGTTGCCTTTGGGTGAGAATCAATTGTCTTTCATCTTTTTGGGATACAACAGATGAAAGAGTGGGTAAAAGACTTGATGGTCAGAAGAGAGACTTCACACCCAAAATGAGTAGGTTAACATTGGTGCAGTAAATCTTAGCTAGTATTCCCACATACCTTTTGTTGTTATGTAAGATGTAATGGAAGATTGCAATGAAACTTGAAAATATTGTGGGCAGGATGAGATGTGGGGAGGAAGAATCACTTACTTGGTTAGGGGGTGGTTTTTAGAATTAGAGACAAATGTGATCTTTCAATTGGAAATTTGAAGGTAATAAATATTGCTCTAGAAGGTAAGTCGCTTTGAAGGTTTCTCTTGGAACAAAATTCTCTATAACATTTAGTTATCAACTGTAGATATAGATTACAAGCCAATGAATAAGACACTAACTGTATTGAAAGGGAAAGTTTACAAAGCCCATGAAAATTTTTATCTTATGGGTTTAATGAAATTTTCTCAAAATCTTAACTATGTTACGGATTGTTAAGTTTGGAGAGAAGCTTAACACAATATGAGAGAGACAAAGAGAGGTTTTGGCTTACCCTACCTCTCACTATTAATCTTGTATTTATAGTTACTAAACAAAGAAATAAAAGACGAGTATACCCTGTGTGGTATACATATTACAATAACCGTAAATCCTAATTATATTATAGTAACTTTTTCAACACTCCCCCTAAAGCTGGAGTATAGATATCATGTTAATCCAAGTTTGGAACAAATATCTGCAAAACGAGTACGACTCAATATTTTGGTGAACATGCCTACAAGTTGAGCATCAGATCTCACAAACGGAGTTGCAATGTCTCCACTTAGTATCTTGTCTATAATAAAATGGCAGTCAACTTCAATATGTTTAGTCCTCTCATGAAACACTGGATTGACAACAATATAAATGACTGTCTGATTATCACTAAACAGTTATAACGGTAGTTGAACTGGGAAACCAATTTCCCACATAAAATATAATAACCATGTCAGCTCACTAGTCGTATGTGTCATTGCTCTATACTTAGCCTTAACACTAGATCGTCCTACCACTGTTTGTTTTTTACTTTTCCATGAAACAACATTGCCTCCCAAGAAGGTGCAATATCCAACAGTTGATCACCGATTAGATGGAAAACCAGCCCAATCAGTATCCGAAAAATCTTCCACTCGAAGATGTCCATTAGTTCAACATAACAATCCAAGACCAGGAGGAATTTTGAAATATCGAAGAATATAAATAACTCTAGGAAATTCCATAAATTGACCTACCGTACTGACTGTATTTGCAATATCTGGTCAGGTAAAAGTAAGATAATTAAGTTTCTCAATCAACCTGCGATACCGACCTGAGTTATCAAATAGAGCACCATCATCTATCAACAACTTCTAATTTGAATCCATAGGAATATCAACTAGTCTACTAACTAGTAAATCTGCCTCTTCTAGCATGTCAAGTACATATTTTCTTTAAAATAGACAAATACCCTGCTTATATGTGACAATTTCAATACCCAAAAAATACCTAAGTTATCCCAGATCCTTCATATAAAATTTGTCTTACATAAATATTTTTAACTGAGTAATACCCTTAAAATCATTACCAGTTATTACAATATCAACATAAACTATCAATAAAGTGTACCCTGCATCTGTCTGTGAAAAATAAATGATCTGTCTAACATCAAATAAGACCAAACTCTAATACTACATCTGAAAATTTATCAAATCATGCTCTTGTTGACTACTTCAAATCATATAGAGATTTCTTTAGTCAATATACACTCCTACGATACTCCCCCTGAGCAATAAACTCAGGTGGCTCCTCCATGTAGACTTC